AACTTCTCCGGTGATATGAAGGTGGGAGTTGCCACATAAAGGTTCTTCCCACAAGTGAAAGAGGGTGTCCCTCCACTCGAGCCGAGGTGTCCATCTAACAGAGGGCAGTGCTCTAGCACTGGAGGATACCTGTGGACAGTGAGGAAAGGAGCTCTATGTTAAGAGCAGAGCCCAATCTGACTGTGAACTTGGCCCTTGTACCTGAACATCTACAAGCTGAGCTCCAGGATAGGAGCTTTGGAGTCAGCAAGAATGTAGGACAGGCTGGGTGTGGTGGTGCCCTCCCGGAATTCCAGCGGCTTGGGAGGCTGAGGCAGGAGGATCGTGAGTTCAAACCAGCCTCAGTAACTTAGCAAGGCCCTAAGCAACTCAGCGAGACCCTGTCTCAAAATATTAAAAAAGGCTGGAGATGTGGCTCAGAGGTTAAGTGCTCCTGGGTTTCAATCACTGGTACCAAAAAAAAAAAAAAAAATGCAGGACAGAAACCTACTTTTATAAACTTCCACCAGGATTCATGAGATTGGGGTTGTGGCTCAGCAGCAGAGCCCTTACCTGGCAACTACAAGGCCCTGGGCTCCATCCTCGGGACTGCACCACCACCACCAAGAAGCCTCCTGAATAAGGGTGCATGCTACTTTTGTGAGGAGCCATTTTGGAGATTTGGGGGCCTTTGAAGCAGTGATGTAAAATGAATCAGGGCCAAGTAAGAACTGTCCCAGGAAGTCCAGGGTTTCAGTCACAGGAGAGGCTGCATGAGGGGAGGAAGGAGAGGTTCTGGTAGGGCAGGTGGTCTTCGGGTAGGTGGGGCTCAGTCTCAGGGGCCTGTTCCTTTTTTTTTTTAATGTTTATTTTCTAGTTATAGGCAGACGCAATATCTTTTATTTTTTTATTTTTATGCGGTGCTGAGGATCGAACCCAGGGCCTCACGCATGCCAGAGGAGCGCTCTACCTCTTAGCCACAACCCCAGCCCAAGGGGCCTGTTCCTTTTCTCACACACACACACACACCCACACAGGGGACTGAACCCAAGGGTGCTCTACCACTGAGCCACATCCCCAGCTCTTTTTATTGTTATTTTTTATCAAAAGACAGGGTCTCACTAAGTTGCTCAGCTCGTGCTGAACTTGTGATGCTGCTGGCCCAGCCTCCGAAGCAACTGGGATTGAAGGTGTGCACTGCCCAGCCGGCTGGGCCCTGTGCTTGTGCTTCGGCCAGCCTTCCACACAAGATGGAGCTCTTCCCCTCCACTTCTGTCTTCTCCACCTGTGGGGACCCAGGTGCCGTGTCCCTGTCAGCCCCATCCTGAGGTGGAGGCGGCCTCTGGGCCAACCTTTGGGAGACCATGAGATGGAAGGGAAGTTGAAGACACAGGACCAGGGCTGGGAACCGGGCACTTCAGGTGCCAAAGAAGCAGGCAGAGTTCTCGTCACCCAGCCACTCCTGTCCAGCCTCTGGATCATGGGGAACCCTCAAGGCATTCTGGCCTGGGGCCGCCTGGCTTCATGGAGACTTCTGCAGAGACCCCAAGGCCACTCTGAATGAAGCTGAGCCAGCGGCCTCTGGGGGCTTTCCTGAGCCCCAGCATACACTCCTCCCCCCTGGCCCTCCCCCTCCGAGGCATTTCCAGAATCAGCCTTGGGAACCCTGGGAAGAGGGTTGACCAGGCCCTGCATGGAAGGCGGCTCTCTCCCTTGGGTCTGAAGTTCCGGGGCTCGTCTTGGGGACTGGAGGCCGGCCCCAGGCAGGCTCCGCTTGGCTCGGGGCTGAGGGAGGAAGTGGGCTTTGTGCTGGGCACCCTCTGGGTTCCTGGGCTTCATTTTCCCACCCTTCTCCTCTTGGCAGGAGAGCGCTCAGCTGGAGAAGCCCCCCACCCGCCCAGTGTCCCCTCCTTCCCCGTCCAGCACCATCCATCTCCGTCTCCCCAGAGCAAGGAATGTGACTCCAGGACACTGTGGGGCTTGTTCCCAATCCCCTTCTAGGTCATTTCATTCAGGCTGTCACAGACTCGCCTCCACCTCCCAGGCCGCCGTCTGGTTCTGGCTCTAAAGGCAGAGACGGGAGCCCCCTCCTCCCCCCAATTCCTCACGCTTCATTTTGTCCCAACACCATGGAGGAGGCTGCACGGTGGGGGGCCAAGGAACCCTGGTGTGGGAGCCCATGGGGGCGGGGGTCCCCTTTCTCCCATCTCTCCAGCCACCTGGGCCAGCCCCTGCTGCTGTGCGGACCCAGAGCCATCCGCAGCGTCCTCGTCATTACCCAGGCCGCAGACCATCCATCCCCTCGCCCGCCCTTCCTGTCCATGCCCCGCAAGCCTCGATTATTGGTGGAATTAGCACCGGGCTTCTTGTTGGCAGTTGCTAATTAAGACCATTAATAAACGCAATTATTAATGCTGCACCAGGCGGCAGCCGCCAGCATCTATCACCGGCACCGTTGGCAAGGTGCTGGGCCCAGGATGGCTCCTGCCTGCCTCCATCTTGGAGGGGTGCATTCACCTCCTGCTCCCTTTGCTGCAGGCCCTGCCAGGTGGGGTCGGTGGATGCAGAGGTTTGGAGAGTGTTTGGCTGAGCTTTCCAGAGAAACGGAGGGAGTCCTATACTCCAGAAAGGCCCCAAACCGGAACCAGGGAGGCCAGGTGTGTGTGAGAGGGACCGCATCTGCTGCCAGTACCTTTCTTCCCCAGAATGGAAGGTGGATGGGGACACAGTGTACAGAGGCTCTGGGGAAACCTGGTGCCATGGCTCACGCCTGTAATCCCCGTGATTCAGTAGGCTGAGGCAGGAGGACTGTGAGTTCTAGGTCAGCCTGGGCAACTGAGACCCTGACTCAGAATAAAAAATAGAAAGGGCTGGGGATGTGGCTCAGTGGTGGAGCACCCCTGGGTTCAGTCCTTGTACTGGAGAAAAGAATAAAAAGACTCCCGGGAGAGCCGTGTGGACCCTCAGGTGTCCCTTCTGCTCCCAGTGACCACAGCCCTCGGTGCCCGCCTGGCCTGTTTTGTTCCATCAGGTAATACTTGAATTTTCCTAGTGGCTTTTCTTACCCCACGGGCTAGGGGGTCATCTAGGTGACACAATGAGTCATTCTCTGTCAAGGGCTTGGAGATGCATCTGACTGGAACAGCCACTGAGCTCCTACTACTTGTCATGTGGGAAGGAGAATCTCCTCCCTCTCTCTCTCTCTCTCTCTCACCAGGGATTGAACCCAGGGCACTTAATCACTGAGCAAATTTTGACATTTTATTTAGAGACAGGGTCTCATTAAGTTGCTGAGGCTGGCTTTGAACTTGCGATCCTCCTGCCTCAGCCTCCCCCCAGCTGCTGGGATCACAGGTGAGTGCCACCTCTTCCAACTGGAAGGAGACTGTCATAAATGAGCCGTAGACATCTCTCCCAGGGAGCTGTCTCTGCGCTCCACCGACTGGATCAGGCCCATCTCCTCCGTACGTCTCTCTCCCATTTATGTGACATATATTGGATGAAGTTGTGCACTTATCTGCTCACCCCAGTAGACTGTGTGCTCCAGGACAGTGGCCGTGTGTCCCTTACTTCAAACAGCAGAAACCCAGACTAGCTTTGTCGTCGTGTCTTTCCTGCCTGTCTTCGGGTGACCCCATCTTCGGATCCCTTCCTTGCTCCATCCTCTCCTCCCTGACCTCTGGCCTCAGGCTACCAAAGCAGGATGGGTGGCAAGCGCCCTCTGACCCAGCTGGCCTCACCCAGAAGGGCAAGAGAATCCTGGCAGGTTTGAGCCTCGGGGTCCTTTCAAGGAGCTGGACGCTCACCTGAGCTTCCCCTCAGGTCCCCCCAGTTCTGGCCTGGCCTCTGCCCCTCTCACAGGGTGATCGGGGCAACCCAGGAGAGCCTGGGAAGGGACCCCCACCTGCTCTCCCTCTTCTGTTCCGTCCTCTCCCCTCCCCACCACGTCAACGTCTTGACTTTTCCTGCAGCATTTGAAGGGAGAGTCCCCCAAGACTTTAGTCTTCCCCAACTCAGGGAAAGAGGAAAGGGGGGGTGGGAAGTCCTGGAAACAAACCCTCTGCAGCAACCTTAAAGTAGGAGAGATCAGTTGGAAGGCCTTTAATCCCTTAATCCCTCTCAGATGGGCCTTGAGACGCTAATGATTTTCCTAATTATTCCCTCCCATTTTCCCATCGCTCTATAAGGACTTTCGAGAGGAGCAAAATTCTGAGGGAGCCGGTGTGGGATGAATGGCAGGGTTACCTCCCCCCAAAAAAGGGCCCAGAGTCCAGGCGAGGAGAGGTGGGGGAAGGGCCAGGAGTGCCCAGCTGGGGGCTTGGACTTCCCCACCACACCCGGGTGCAAGGCGCGAAGGGGCCTGGGACAATGGGGCGGTTGGGGGCTGCCTGAGAGGGCCAGGTGTGGGGCTGGGGTCCCCTCCGTGTGAATGGCCCATTATCCTGCCTAGAGGATGGGAGCTGAGGGTCTCTTTGTGTCCCCCCCCACCAAAAGGCCCCTCCTGGTGATAATCACCCTGGGAGGGAAGAGGAGAGGGTGATGAGGGCCTTTAAAGGGGGCCAGGCCTCCCCAGAGAACAGTTGCCCATTCAGGCCTCTGTCCTTCCCTAGGACCCAGGGGGCCATCCATGGGAAGTAGGGGTGAGGGGTGGCCAGCAAACATGGCGAAGCCCAGGCACGCAGGCCCCTCCCCTCCAGCGTGGCCTGTGGGACTGAGTTCAGAGGTGGCCTTCTCCAGGAAATCACCCCCAGACCACACTCCCTACCCCACTAACCTCTGGCACCCCGAACCTTGTCTCACCTCTCCAGAGGTGGAGTTCCTCAGGGACCAGAGCCCCCTGACAACACCTTGACCCTTGACCCCGCAGCCTTGCCGGGATAAGTGTGTTAACCCCACTTCCCAGGTGAGGAACTGGGAGGTAAGCGATTTCTGGAGGGGGACTCACCAGTTAGGTGCAGAGCTGAGATTGGAGGCTGATTTCCCCGACACCAGGCCAGGTTTTTTTTGGGGGTCTTATTTTGTTTGGGTACTGGATTGGATCCAGGGGCACTTGGCCACTGAGCTACATCCTCTTTTCCTTTTTATTTTATTTTCAAGTTTTTTTGAGACAGGGTCTCACTAAGTTGCACGGGCTGGCCTTGAACCTGGCGATCCTCCTTCCTCAGCCTCCTGAGAGCTGGGATTACAGGCCTGTGCCACGGTGTAGTCAGGTGTAAGAAGGCGTGTACATGCCGTCATCGCCCTGTCCACAATGCTCACCTCCTAAATGGCCACCCGGTTGGCTTGCTGGCCTCCTCTGGCCTTGGCTTAAGTCACGCTGTCCAACCAAGGAGCCGTGGTGTGTGATTTGCTTCAAAATGACCGGGTCGGAGGAGAGGTGGGAGTAGGGATGAAACAAGATGGCCAGTTGTTGGAGCTAGATGACAGAGGGGTGGGGCTTCGTTATACTATTCTGTTTACTTTGTAACTATTTAAAAATTTCCACACACACAAAAGTTGAACAAAATCCAGCCTTCCCTAAGCACCTCATTTTGAATGGTCGTCCACCACCCCCAGCCCTGAACTCTTTTTCCCCAGATCGCTCACCGCCATCTGACCTCCTGTCTGTGGAACTTATTTGTCCTGATCCTTGTCAATCTTCCATATAGGTCAGAGGGTGTGAGGTCAGAGGTCATGGGGACTATTTGTGCAGACGGCTGCCCCAGCAGGCGGGGCAGTGCCTGGCACCTCAAAGGCACTCGGTGGGGATTAGCGCAGGTCTTGGCGGCTGAGGGCTCTTGGAGGAGCTGACTGGGAGCAGGGAAGGGGCGGCCTTGTGTTCCTGGCCTCCGGGGGCCTTCAGCACCTGGAGCCACAGCCGGAGGGTTCTTCCCAGCACAGCCCTCAGCCTGGGCTAAGCCCCTAAATGTCCCATTATACACCATTCACTTCTCACTTTGTCGGGGCCCATCCACAGCCACTGGGTCCCTTTGTCAGGAGGGCCTGGGAGCGCGAGGGGCTATTACCACCAGGCCTCATTATTCCAGCCGGAGCAATAATGAGGTGTCCCTTCCCTGGACTCGCACATTTTGCAGGCCCCTCCCATTTAATAACTATAATAATGATCACCATTGATGGGTCTTCGTGCTGCACCAAGCACTTTACATACATTACCTCATTTAATTCCCCCGGCGGATCTGGGAAAGAGCTTCTGTTGGTGTCCCCATTTTCCAGACGAGAAAGCTAAGACTGGGCAAGCGCAGCTCCTTCTCTCCCAGCTCAGCTGTACAGGCAGGGTGAAGGTACAATGCAGCCATAACCCAGACTGGAGGCTCTAGCTTCAGAGAGGGCAAGTGGCCTGAGGAAGGGCACACAGCAGCAGATTAGCAACCCGGCAGCAGGATTCCCTCCGGTGGGGAGAGAGGTGCACATGACAGCTCCTCAGCTCTCCAGCTGTAGTAGGGAGTGACCATCTCTGTCCCTGCCTCACAAGGAAGGTGCTGGCTCAGGGCGCTTTGGTGACTCGCCCATGTACACAGAGCTAGTGAGAATCCAGACACTCTGCCTACAGTGCGACTGGACGAGGAGGCGGCAGGGGGAGAGAAGCTGATCCTGAAAGGCTCTGGAAGGACCATAGGACACAGTGACCAGGCCCAGCTGGACAGGGTGATGTGGGGCATAGAGCAAAGAAGGGAACTGGCCAGCCACCGTGGCTCACGCCTGTCATCCCAGGGCTTGGGAGGCTGAGGCAGGAGGATCTCAAGTTCAAAGCCAGCCTCAGCAACTTAGTGAGGCCCTAAGCAACTCAGTGAGGCCCTGTCTCCAAATGAAATATTTTTAAAAAGGGCTGGGGATGTGGCTCCATGGTAGAGCATCCTGGGTTCGATCTGCAATACGGGAAAGAAAGAAATCCAGTAAAAACCACAACAGTGGGCTACAGAGCGCGGGCCTCCCTCCGCCTGGGCTTCTCCAGCCCCGTTCCCATCCCAGAGACACACACGTTCCTGTTTTCTCCTGGTTCCTCCCAGAACTACTCTGTCTTAGGGCTTTTGTTTATAAAAATAAACACCCACCCCTCACCAGGCCATTTCCTTCCTCAACTCATGGCCAGCTCGCTCTCAGCCACCAGACAAATGCGCTGGCCCTCGGCTCTCGGGGGAGCCCACGGGAGAGAAGGGTCATGTGAACGAGAAGTCAGCCGGTGCGCAGAAGGGTGGCTCGGCAGCAGCATGTGCAAGCGCGCAGAGGTGTGACACCAGTGTGTCACAGAGGTTCACAGAGGACTCTCTCCCTCCCTCTCTCTCTCTCTCTCTCTCTCTCTCTCTCTTGTATTGGAGGTTGAACCCAGGAGCACTCTATCCTGAGCTACATCCCTGACCCTTTTCATTTTTTATTGTGAGACAGGGTCTTTCTAAGTTGCTGAGGCTGGCCTCAAAACTGTGATCCTCCTGCCTTAGCCTCCCAAATCCCTGGAATTACAGGAGTGTGCCACCATGCCCTGTCACAGTGGGGGGTTTTGCATAAGAGGCAAAGAGGAGGCTTCAGAAACTGGGTGACTTCCAGAGCCAGAGGTCTTTGGCTGGCAACCTGCATGCCCTTGACCTCGAGCCTGAGGTCTCTGACTCTAGGAAGGGTTTTCCTATCTGCCCTTCCTAGGGAGAAGAAAGGGTTTAAGGGGGCCATCCCTGATCTGCAGGACCCCTGGTGTCCACTTAGCTGGTGGCTCGGTGGGCTCTGGGTGCAGGCATTGCCCTCCTCAGTCTTCACTGTGTGGTTGTGAGGGTTAAATAAGTTGATAAAGGGTTAATACAAAGTTTGGCACATTTTAAATTAATGACAGTTACAATTATTCCAAGGACAATCTTTTCTCCCTCTAACTTCTCTGTCTCAGTGTTTCCCTGTCTCTGGGGACCTATGCAACCCTCTGCAACATTCCTGGCTCCCAGAATTCTTTTCCAGGCCACTGATAACCCCATTAGGCCAGGAGGGGTGGCTCATGCCTGTAATCCCAGTGATTTGGGAGGCTGAGGCAGGAGGATGGCAAGTTGGAGGCCAGCCTCAGCAATTTAGCAAGACCCTGTCTCAAAATAAAAAATAAAGAGGGCTGGAGATACAGCTCAGAGTTCGGGCACCCCTGGGTTCAATGCCTAGTACCACAAACAAACAAAACCAATAAAACCTCTACTGGTTGCAACCGTCAACCTTCACCTTGGATTCTCTGGGAGGGGATTAGGAGCAGAACTGCGGGAGCACATGGGCACGGGAGCTGGGGTGTTCAAGGGAAGAAAGAGGCTCCCCTCCCGGCTCCTCGACCCCGCCTCTTCTCACCCACCTCCCTTAAAAAAACCCGGCCCACTCATTACGGAGCCCAGCAGCCAGCCCCTGGCTAAAGCCCTGGTAAAGGCAGCAATTAGATCATTAGCACCAGCCCTTACCCACCTGCTCAGAGGCGGCAAATGTGTTTTAATTATAATCCCTAATCTCCCTCAGATGGTGGGGCTGGCTCTAGGGCTTTTGCCCTGCACGACCCCTTTCCCTCCCCTCCTCCCCCAATTAAGGGGTCCTCTCTTAGCCCCTTTCCCAGCTAAAGGTCTCTGCCCGGAGGAGTGAGAGCCTGTGCTCTGTCCCTGGCCACGGAGTGGCCCCAAGTGGCCGTGTTGGTCCACCTGGAAATTTCTCTGCAGGTGAATTGCAGCCCCACGGGTCCTGTCCCTCCTGGCCTGGGAACAACTGCTGGGATGCTTAAAGGTCCCTTAAAGGTCCCCCTTGGGCTCCTCTTGTCCTGGGAGTCCTCGGGAGGCGGGTCCCCAGGCCCTGTCACAAGGACTTCTGTCTCCCCATCAGCCACCCACCCTGCCTGGCTCAACTGTCTCCTTGGCGTCTCCTGGAAGCCGCCAGGTTCTGTGGCAGGTGGCGCTGAGGCCTGGCCCTGATGGGATGCCTCTTGGTGGCAGCCCTGGGTCAACCTCCAGTTGACATTATCGGATCCCATTGTCACCCTCCAGCCCCTCGTGCCCGGCCAGGGCCCTGGAACCCCAGACATACCGAGGCAACGTCAGGCCCGCCTCTGTCCCTGAGCTGCCAGCCGCTGGGCACAGGCCGGGGAGGGACGGGATGACCCAGCATGTGGCCCTGTCTAAAGCTGAGCCTGGATGAAACTGTCCTGGGAAAGTTCTGTCACTAATTGACTTGCAAATGTCTCGTTTGTCCCCAGATTCATAATTAGTGCTAAGGATTTCTAGGGCCCCATCCTGGAGGGGCTCTTTTTGGGGGGCAGCCTGTTCCTCTCCCCTCTCCGAGGTCGGCAGGGCCGGGGGTGGGCAGAGCTGGGCACCGATGCCCAGCTGCTGACCAGCGTTCCCACGGCTCCCGTGCCAGAGTGTGAATGGCGAGGTGCGGGGGCCGCGGGGGCCGGGGCTCCCCGCCATCCTGCAGCCGGGACCACGGCCAAGGCCCCAAGGCTCCAGGAAATGGCAGAGCTGGGGAGGGGGTTATGGCAGCGGGCGGGGGGGGGCTGGCTGGCACCCCCAGGAAGGAGGATCCAGCCGGTGCTGGGGGCTGGCATGGGCCGAGCCTCCGGAGCGATGAATGAACCAACAAGGGGCCTCTCTTCCCCACAGCTCCCCACAAAGGCCTTGGCTGAGCCTCTGGGTGTGGGGGGCTGGGGGCACCGGAGGAAGAGGGAAGGCTGTTTTCAAAGACCCCCCCACCCCTCGCCTCTGTGCTCCTAGGAAGGGCCCGGATTCAGGCCCAAGTAGGGCTTGGGTCTCCTGACTGGGAAGGCAGCTTTCCCAGACTCTGAATCCTACGTCCCCGTGGATTATCTGTGACCTCCTTCCCACCCTGGTGTCCCCCTCTTGGTTTCTGCTCAACCAGCTGCCTCCGTCGCCTCACCCCCAGTCTCCTGAGGATTCTCAGCCCGCTGTAGGCCTGAGACCCAGCCACCATCAACAGCCCCCCTCTGGGGCTCCTCCAACCCTGCCTGATGCCCTTCACCTCCCAATAGAACAAGAAAGACTCTTCTGGGGGCCAGACATGGTGGACCCTGCCCTTAATCTCAGGAGGCTGAGGCAGGAGGATCGCAAGTTTGAGGCCAGTCTGCGCAATTTTGCGAGAATCTGTCTCAAAATAAAAAAAAAATTAAAAAGGACTGGGGATGTGGCTTAGGAGTAAAGTGCCCCTGGGTTCATCCCTAGTACCAAAAAAAGAGACTGTTCCCACCAGGTTCAGAGGCCCACACCTGTAATCCCAGCAAACTGGGAGGCTGAGGCTGCAGGATCACAAGGTCAAGGCCAGCCTGGGCCACTCAGGGAGACCCTGTCTCAAAACAAAAAGGACCGAGGCTGTGGCTCAGTGTGAAGCACCTCTGGTTTCAATCCCCGGCACTAAAACAAAACACAACCAAAAAAATAAAATAAAGGGTGGAGAAGGAGAGGAGGAGTCTCCGCTGTGACTGGGTCACACCGGGCAGGACACCGCCTCTTCCTGTCTTCAAAACCCCCGAGGGTCTTCACCAGAACCCAAAGTCCCTGTAAGGAAGGCACTCCTGAGGCCCCGGGAGGATGCTCGGTTGAGGTTCTTTTCCTTCCTTCTTCCCCAGCCTCCCTTTCCTGTGCCTGGGACGTCGTCGATCACTCTCACCTGGCCCTCTCCCTACTTCATCTCCAGTTGCTTTCGCAGAGCTGGTCTTTTTTTCCTTTGGTCAGTCCTTCCTGCAGTCTAACTTTCTGTGGCAGGTGGCCCACCCCCAGACCCGGCCGCTCCCCAGGCCGCCCTACAGCTGGAGCCCTGAGGGAAGGGGAGGAGGTGAGGCTCTATGGTAACCCTGAGAGGAGAATGCCCTCTCTCTTCATCTGCATACAGACGGGCTCATTTGCATACAGACAGGCCTCATCTGCATATACTCAGTGGGACTCAGGCACATTCCGAAGTGTCCCGCCTGGTTCCTCCCACCCCAGTCCTGGCATCCCCGGCCCGCCCCTCCTGCCCCTGTCTGGTCTGGGTCTTTCTGTTTGCAGAGCCTGTCGCTTCTCCACCTGCTGTTGTCCCCTTTCCTCCCTGTGCTCACAGGAGCCCCTCTGCCCACGCCCCCTGGTGCCCCAGGCCCTTTGTCCAGGAGCCTGACTCCCACGCAGGAGGCCACTCACGGTGGCAGAGGTTTGCCACCCCCTGCCCGGCACCCCACCCCCAACACCCAGAGGGTACATGGGCCAAGAAGGTGGATCCCCAGCTCTGGGCTCCACAGCAAGCCCAGGAAGTGGAGGGAAGCTTCTCCTGCTGACCCTCCCCAAGCCCGGTCCCCCTCCTCCTCCACTCACCCCACTTCCCCAGGGACCGACCCCCAGGGGCCACCGTGGGCCTCGGCAAGAATCCCCCAGGCCCTGCCGTCAGATGAGGGCTGGGGACCCCGGGAGCATCATCCTGGCCCCGGGGAGCCTGGGCCCAGCCCCTGAAGGAGCCCAAGTTTTGAGGAAATGAACAGCCCCTTCCCAGCGGCCGCCCGGCCCCATCTGCCCCGCCAGCCCCTGTCCTTATGGGGGAGCCCGGGGCTTCTGGGATGTGAATTGGGGGAGTCTGAGATTCTTCTCCTCACACCCTCCACCATGCTGAGGACCTCCACCTGCTGACCCTCCCCTCCGTGACCTCAGTTTTCTCCGCACAGTGAGGGGCTGGCTGGACCAGGCAGCTCTCGGTGGCTTCCCTGAACAGGGCCCAGGTGCCTAGCAGCGTGTCCTGAATCTCAGCTGACACAGCTTGCCCGCCCGTGGCGGGGTCCTGGCCTGGAGAAGTGGCAGCCTGTGTGGTGGGGTCCACCTGGAAACGGGGGATGTGCACATGGCTTGGGTGTGTGGACAATTTGGGGGAGAACTTAGGACCAGTGGGTACTTCTTGGGAGGAGACCTGCTTTCTCTTTTGTCTTCGTTTGTGGGCACTGGGGATTGAACCCAGGGGTGCTTCACCACCATGTTACATCCCCAGCCCTTTTTATTTTTTAATTTTGAGACAGGGTCTCCCTTTATTGCTTAGGGCCTTGCTAAATTGCTGAGGCTGGCCTCGACTTGGCAATCCTCCTGCCTCAGCCTCTTGTGCTGTTCCACCCTGCCTAGCTGACACTTTCCACTGAGTACCGTTAGGATCGTGCCACGGGTATTATCATAGAATTTTTTTTTAAAAAATATTATTTATTTAGAAAAATCCCAGGACTCAAACTGTCATTCCATGAGGGAGTACGGTTAGATCAGAGGAACATTCCCAATTTCTTGCTGTGTCTCCCGCGGCCCTCTCAGCTCTTGTTATTGCAGAGAAGTCCTGCCTGCTGTCTAACCTGAATTCTTCTTGCCATTCATATTGGTTCCTTCTGTTTCTGCTGAGCATAGACAGAGAGGAAGCGGGAGCAGGTGGCACCATGGGAGAGGGGCGCTGCCGGTCTGTGCACTGCTCAGACCCAGGGGGCATTTCTGAGGAAGGACCCTTTCATGGAGGACACGGGCTGCCCAGTGACCTGCCCCACAGAACCCCCCCCCCATGCTCTCGGTCCTTCAGATGTCCCTCAGTGCCCCTTTGGCTGGGAGCGCCAGCCCATTGCTCGGAGACGGAAGGGGCCAGATCCTGGGTGGAGCTCTCAGGGTCTGGGGTGGTTAGGAGGGGCGTGGGGGCGGCGTTGTCAGCCACCCCCCATCCCATTCCCCAGGGGGGATCGCCACCTTCTGTCGCAAAGTTCCTTCTATGGCTGGGTCCCTGTTAGAGGAAGCCCAGTGTCACCCCCTCTTCTTCAGTCCCTCCCCTTCCAACCCGCCCAGGCACATCCACGGTCACTGTCAGTCAAAACTCAAGAGTCTTTATTAGACAGGAGACGGGACTTCACCCCAGAGGTCGTGGGAAGCCCAGCTGAGACGACCCGGGATAAACGGGGTGGGCCTGCACGGGCAGCCGGTGGACAGGGAGCAACGGGCCCAGCGAAGGCTCCTTCCAGAAGCTTCCAGGTGGGATGGCTGCCCAGGCTGGAGGGTGGGTGCTCCCCATTTCCTTTCTGCCTTGGTGGATCTCACTCTGCTGCGCTGAGCCTTCGGCCGGGATGGAAGGCTTCTCAGAGGGAACCCAGCCGCCGGGGGAAGTGGGTTCTTAGAGATCTGAAAAGAAAAATCGTCAAATTTTTCTTGGGCTGGGGCTCAGGGGTGGAGCGCTTGCCTGGCATGTGTGAGGCCCTGGGTTCCATCCTCAGCCCCACATACAAACAAATAAAATAAAGGTCCATCAACAACTAAAAAATGTAAAAAAAAAAAAAATGATAAATACATAAATAAATAATGAAGAATTGAGGCGAGGGCAGAGGGAAGCTTGAATGCGTGGCCTTGACAGGGTGCCCCTCCATCGGGAAAGGAGGAGGACGAGGGCCACCCGACAGTGGCTGGAGCCCAGGCGTCTGCTCCAGGTCTCCACGCAGGGCAATGGGGTAGAGAATGCCTGGGTGGAAGCTCAGATTCCAAACATCAGGCAGGGACCCCAGGGCGCTTTCTCGGGGAAGGAAGGCAGGGGGCTTGCTTCCCTTGAGCTCCAGGGCCACTTGGGAGGACTTTGGTGACTTCTCCAGTCCCGTCCTCAACCTGCAGGGACTGCTGAGCATCCGAGAATCCGCCCGGCTCCGCCTGCCCTGGCCCTCTCCTCTTTCCCTCTTTTCGGTCGACTGTGCTCAGAACACGATTCTGCAGGAAGCCAGCGGGAGGGCAGGGGACCCAGCCCAGCCCAATGTGCCAGTCCTGTGACTCAGGGACAACGACATCCTTCCTGAAGATCCGATTCCTCCTCTGGAAAGGGAGACTCGGACTGCACCATTTTCAGGGAAGGTTAATTGAGATAATCGCTGAGACAGACCGAGTGGGTGCAGAGTCAAGGTCAACACCCTCCTTCCTGGAGTCGGGGAAGGGGCCCCAGAAACGACAGAGAATCCGTCGTGGGCACAGTGCTTCCTGTGAGCCAGCAGTTTGGGGAGCCCCTAAAGTTCACCTCACCCGACCTTCGTGTTGGGGCCTGAACCTGGGGCCACACAGGACAGGCAAGGGCTCTCCCACCGACCACAGCCTTGGCTGAGAACCTTGAAATCTGAGAAGGGAGACTGTGGAGCCAGCACCTCCAGAGGCTGAGGCAGGAGGATCCCAAGTTCAAGGCCAGCCTCAGCAATTTAGCAAGGCTCTAAGCAACTTAGCAAGACCCTGTCTCTACATAGAAAATAAAAAGGGCTGGGGATGAGGCTCAGTGGTAAAGTGCCCTGAGTTCAATCATCGTTGGTACCAAAACACACACACACACACACACACACACACACACACGATGGGACCTCACTACACCCCTGCGTTGCCCAACTCCACTCAGGTCAGTGCTCCCCTCTGGCCACCGGGACGCCCCCCATCTTTTCTTCCTTCCTTTCCAAGGGCCTCACCAAATTGCCCAGGCTGGCCAAAACTTGGGATCATCCCTCCTTGGCGTCCTGAGTGGCGAGACCACGGCCTGCGCAGCAGGGTACCCGGTTCGCTCCTGGCTTTTCCAGACTCACCTCCCTCCCCCGTGCTCCTGGCCCTGGCTCCTCTTCCTCCCTCTGCTCCCACTTCTGCTCGGTCCCTAACTGGACCTTGACCACATGGAGGCTTGGGGACAGAAGCCGGCCTGGCTCATCGTCCTGGAGACACTTATTGGGGAAAAGGTAAAGACCGGCTCCCTGACCCTGGGGTCCTCGAGGAGGGCCGGAGGAGTCCCTCACCCCTCTGGCTGACTGCAGGACCCAGCTGGGCCGCGGTTCCCCAGAGTCCCCAGCCGCGGGGCAAAGCGCCCTCTCAGGCTCTCCCTTCCGTCCCTGGCTCTGGACCCTCAGCCCATTAGGGAGCCCCACGCCCCCAGGCTGCCTAGATTTGGGGGGACAGCAGGGCTTTCCTGTCAGAGTGTGGATGTGGCCGGGGACGGGGGGCTGAGCCCACCCTGAGTGAAACAGGCAGGAGTCCCTGGGAACAGCCTGTCACCCCTCCCAGCCCCAGACAGAGCCAGGCGGATCTCCTAGCAACTACTGCAGAAGGGCTGGGCCGGGGCGGTGGCTGGGAGAGTGGGGCGGGGAGCAAGGACATCATAAATTACCCGGCCCCTCCCTGGCGCCCACCCTTCCTCGGTGGGCATGGCCTCCTTTCTCTCCCCACCTCTCCTCATTCAGGACTCCCCTCTGCAAAGCTAGCCCCTGCTCGGTGCCCCTTGTCCATGTCCCTGGAGGTCAAGGTGACCGCTCTCTGCTTTGGGTTGGCTCCAGAAGGAGGGCACTCTCGCCATCCGGGACCCCTCGGGTCCTTCTAGGGGTCTCCCCAGGGAGGGGAGTGGAGAGAGTCTCCCGAGGGGCCTCCCACTGGAAAGCCTGGGAGACTATCCCTGTCCAATGGTCCTGGCTCCTGCCTCTTTTTGGGGTCCTGAGGGGGATCACGGAGGGGGAATTTCAAAACCTTTCAGGGTACTGACTCCTCTCCACAGAAGATTTGAGCAAGGGGCCCCCCAGGGATTTGAGGAGGCATTCTGACCTCTCACCAAGCCAGCTTCCTCGAGGTCCTTTTGCCAGTAGTTGGGGTCCAGAAATATCCATAAAGTGACTAAAGCTAGATGGCAGTTCCTTTCTTACCTCTCAACCATGTTAAGCCAAGGGTCCAAGAACTGGTGTTAAAGCACTATAGATCTGGATTAGACACTAGGAAGAACTTCCCAAGATAGGAATCTGTAGGTGGAATTTTCTGGTTGGAGAGAAGAAAAATCTATCCTAGAGCCAGAACCTCTTGACATCTATCCCATTGACCCTTTCTCAGCACATTGAATAACACACAGGGAGTGTTTAGCATAGAACCTGACACAGAATGAACCTCCACTTTGGCCTTAAAAAATCCTATCTTAAGTAAGGTATGATGGCCTACACCTCTAATCCCAGCAACTGGGGAGGCTGAGGCAGAAGGATGGCAAGTTTGAGGCCAGCCTTAGCAACTTAGACCCTGCCCCAAAATAAAAAATAAAAAGGGCTGGGGATATAGCTCAGAGGCAAAGTGCCCCTGGGTTCAATCCCCAGTTCCAAAAAAACAGCACATACAAAAAGGCGTGCATGAAAACGAACTTTTACTGGCTGAACATCAGAGAACAGGGACAAATCTCTGGAGAGCCACCTCCAGCCTCCAGGAGCCCCATGGGAAACCCCAGAGACGAGGTGGCACCCTGAGTGCAAGATGGCCGCCGACTGTCATGGCAACAGCAGAAGGCGTCTGGTTGGCTGTGGGGGCGGTGCTAGGCAGCCAGCTGGTGCCAGATGGACAAGCCCAGCAGAAGGCAGCCCCAGCCGGGTGAAGCTCATGCCCCATGCCCAGGGCGCTCCCTCCATATACCAGCCTCAACCTGGTCCTTCGCTCCAGGCCCAAAGGCCCCACTTCTGTCTGCGGGGGATGATGCCAAAACCACTCCGCCTCCGACTCTGGCTCCTACAACTAGGAGGGGGCCGCTTACAGACAAAGACCCTCCTGCCCCATCTCTCTGGCCCGTGGGCCCGGGGTCTAAATAGATCCAAAGTTAGCTCCCTCCTGGCCATGCTGAGGACGCACAGAATTGGGGACTTGAGAGGGTCCCAGGTGGCGGGGCTTGGAGGTACCATTCTGAGTGCATTGATAGAGCGGAGACTCCACAATGGCTGGCTGGTGGTCCCCCTGGAGAACATGGAGTCCGGGGCTGCAGAGGAGGGGCGGGTGGGTTATGGGCAGTCTGGGGCCATGGCTCCACCTACCTGTGTCCATCTCCCAGTATCCCTGGATGGAGTTCACACATGGCCAGCAGCATGTTTTTCCTAAGAAGGATGAAAGAAGCTGTGGGAACGGGGTTCACCACCTTATTGTTAAAAGTGAGCCCCTCTTGAATCAGTCTCAGCTGCTCAATCCCCAGCCCTCGCAACCTACAACCCATGCCCCCAAACCAGGGAAGCATTCCTGATTGCCCCCACTTTCTTCCAATGGCCTCTATAACTGTGTCCCCCAGCATTTAGTAATTAACACCCAGCATCTACACATAGTCCCATAAAATGCTCCCATCCTCACCATCCCATTTGATATTGATGGAAGTTCAGGTTCAAATGCATTAGTTGACTTGCCTAAGGTCACCTGGTTAGCAGGTAAGGGAAGCCAGAATTTGTGTTCTGACCGGCCTGTCCCACTCCAGAGACAAACCAAAAAACTCTCGGGGTGCAGGGGGGGTGCTGGGCATGCAGCTCATGGTAGAGCACTTGTGTATCTTGTGTGAGATCCGGGACTCAATCCCTAGCACCACAAAAATAAAATAAAACAGTTCCAAACCTCCTCCTTCTGTCGTCCTCCCTGCAGACAGAGCCTCTGTCTAACAGTCTGTGAGCGGCGACAGGCTGCGGTTGCGCCTGCCATCTTCTATGGCTCCAAGTGCCCTGAATCCAAACAGGTTTTGAAGGGTCAGGATCCTTCAAAAAGGCCTTGGCAGTCGGGGAGAAGGTCTCTCCACACTGCGGACTATCAGGAAGGGACCCGGGGACAGGGCCAGCGCAGGACTGACTTCCCCTGGGGAAGACAAGAACGTACTGGAAGCTGAAGTGACCTTGGGCCTCATGTTAGGCTCTGGTCAATCCTGTTTGTCCACCGTCTCAGCACAGCTCTCCCTGGAGGGAGCACCCTGGGAGGGGCTGGAAGGGGACCCTGATGTCCCCCTGCCAGGAAGAGTAGGAGGCTAGATGGGGTCAGGTCCAAAAGTGTCCCAAGAGGGCACCTACACATCATGGAGGAAGGCTGGAGGTGGCGAGGTCTGGCAGGACTGGGAGGGGCAGCTGGGGGAAATGGGGAGTGGCTCTCCACAGCCTCGGGGTGAGGTCCCGGGGCCTCAGCTGCTCCCTTCCTGCTCAGACCTGGTTTAAGCCCGAGGCCACCCCTCCGCCCCCCTTCCCCCAGCCCCATTCCACAGCAGCCCCTGAGCGGCCCCTGGGAACTAAGCCTTTGCACCTGACAGGGCCACTTCCATGTCCACTCACACAGAGGTCTTTGTGCAAAGGTTGGACTGGGGCTGGGTGGCAGCTGGCCCCCTCCTACATTCCACCCTGTGGCCAGCAGCAGCCACTGTCCCTTCATCTCCTGTCCCCTTTCTCTTTGAGAGTCCCCTCCCAGCCTTGGCCCTGGACACCTCTTCTGGCTCCTTACTTCCTCCAGGAAGTTCCCGGGACGGGTCTCCCTTCTGCGCGTCTGCGCTCAGCCTCCTGCTCTTGCAGCTCTTGACCTCTGGAGCCACTTTTGTCTTCTAAGTAAGAGAGCGTGGAGCAGGCCCGCAATCCCAGGGACCCCGGAGGCTGAGGCAGGAGGATCGTAAGTTTGAGGCCAGCCTGGGCAGCTTAGCAAGACCCTGTCTCAAAATAAAAAACAAAAAGGGTTGGGGGATGTCGCTCCTGGGTTCAATCTCCTGTGTAAATAAATAGATAAATAAAGTCAGAGAGGTCAGGCAGAGGCACAGGTCAGGGCCAGCACCCCTGCCCTCTCCAGGCCCACCTCCTGCCCTGACCTGAACCTGCTCCTGATGATGGAAATCCCCAACTTAGTGTTTCTCCACGTTTCTCCCCAAAGAGCTCCCATAAGCCTAGCTGTCCTCCCCCTCCACCACCCGTGTGTGTGTGTGTGTGTGTGTGTGTGTGTCTATCTGTCTGTCTGTCTGTCTGTGAGAGAAAGAAAGAGAAGGAAGACGGGGGAGGAGCAGGGAGCTGGGTGCCGTGGCCCATGCCTGTAACCCCACAGGCTCAGGAGGCTGTGGCAGGAGGATCTTGAGTTCAACGCCAGCCTCAGCAACTTATCGAGGCCCTAAGCAACTCAGTGAGACCCTGTCGCTAAATAAAATATAAAAAAATGGCTGCAGATGTGGCTCAGTGACTAAGGCACCTGAGTTCAATCCCTGATATCAAAAAAAAAAAAAAAGAGAGAGAAATTCTGAAAGTGGGAAGGAAAGATACAGCCCTTTCTCAGGTGGCTCCAAGGCCTTTTGTAGGTTTTTTCACTTCTCTGGAACCAGCTAAGAGTTAAGTATCTGATGGGTGCTGCGCTCAGTGGGCAGCTAGATGTGGGAGTCCCCTTCCCTGCTCCAAAGTCGCTCCCTCTGCCCAGGATGCCTGGTGCTATCAGCTGGCTTCTCCAGCACGTGGTTAACCCTAGCCTCCCTGGTGTAGCACACAAGGCTCCTGACAATGGAACTTCTGCTCCCATGTCGACGTCCCTCGGGCACAGACTGCCTTCCAGGGACAGGCTAATCCCCAACACGCCGGCTCCTTCCTCCCCTCCAGCCTTCACATGTGCAGCCTACTGTCCACCACCCACCTCCTCAGACTCCTCGGGGTGACAAACTGCTGCATGCCTGTGTCCCTGTGGCACCCTCGGGAAGCCTTCCCTAGCTCTCCAGAGGTGGCCAGAGGCTCCCTCCTCCACGCCTCCACGGCACTAGGTGGGTCTTCAGGACAACTGGCCTGTGTCCCCAACAGACGGCTAGCTCCTCAGAGCAGCTTTGTAGTCTACCTTCCCCTTCACACAGCACTCAGCACACAGTAGGCCCTCAATAAATACCTGAGTGCATGAGCTGATGTGGAGCTGATAAAGGAGGAAGCGATGGGTTTTGGTGGGGTCAGGGTTGAACTGGGGCAAGTCCAGGAAAGTGCTCAGGATTTGGACCTGAGGGGCCTGGGAGTTGAGCAATGTCGCATCCCATCGGAGCTTGGGGCAGGACTCTGGCCTGATGCTAATGGGTGGCCCCTGGGAGCGGCCCTTCTGAGTGTTGGGGGAGGGAGCACCTGCATGCCCCTAGAGGAGATAAGCACACAGGAATTTCCCAGGGCTCCCTGCAGCCAAGGTAGGGGCAGGTGGCCTTTCCAGTCTGACCTGGGAGCTAACGTGAGAGCCCCAGGCAGTAGTTAGGAGAGTTCTGGACAGGTCAAGGTTAGGCACCTGGGTGATGGGGGGGACCTTCAGAGGATGGTTGAAAGGCAAGAGTGAGTTAAGAGGAAGAAGGAAGAGCACAGGGTGCTGGTGGCAGAAGCTTGGGGAGCCCTTCTGGGTGGGGAACTGGTGGATCTAGATGAAGGGACCGGGATGTCACAGAACTGAAGGCCACGGGGAAGACGGGAGGGAATCAGCATGGAACTCTCTGTAGAGATGGGGAGGTCCCACCCTGAGGGAGAGCCCTGGGCCTGTGGGGCAGCTGTGCATGGCCTTGGAGAGGGCACACCTTCCCCAGGTATGAAGACTGGACTAGTGGTCTGGGAGAGAAGGTGGACAGTGGCTCTCCAAGGCGGAGACCCCGCCCGCCCACACCTCACTGTCCCTGACCCTGCTGGTGCCCCCAGCTCTGATGCCTCCCACAAGCCTCCCGAGCTCTGGGATTCCCCCCGTGAGCGGAGGCGTCCCTGCCACCTGCTTCAGTGGCCAACCTCACGTCTGTCCAGGGAGCCGCCCTCTCTCTTCTCTCCCTGCCCTCTCTTCCCGAGCTCCACTGGTGAGAACATTCAACCACATTCTCGGTCAGCCAAGAAGTCCTTCTGAGGGTCCCGGTCTCCCTGGTGTCCACCGGCCAGGGCTGGCTCTCAGCGCACACCTGTCGGAGGCGGCCATTTTACGGGCACCAGCTACCTAAGATGGCGGCCCCCTGCCTCCCTCTGCTTCCGTTCCCACAGCCTTGCCTCCTACCCCGGCCTCTTTCTTTCTGAAGCCTGAACCCAACAAGGTGGGGGGCCAGGCTGGGGAGCCAAGGCCGGAGGAAGCAAGACAAAAAAGGACAGAAAAGCGGTCCCTCTGGCTTCCCTCTTTGGCACTGGAGCCCAGCGCAGAGGGAGGGCAGGGAAGAAAGAAAGTAGTGTGAGTTTTTATTTCCGTCCTCTTCCTGCCACCTCCCGGCCCCTCCCCCCACACTTTGATGAAAACAAAACCTCTCCCCTTTTCTCTCTTCGCCAGCCCCCCCCCCTTTTTTCCCCTGGCTTCTACCATGAGCCTCCTGGAATGCAAATGAACTGTATTATGCAAATGTATGCAAATCAGGCTTAACGAGCGGAAGGAGGGGGCAGAATGCCTAATGAGGAATGGTGGAGGGTGCAGATGGAGGGTGTCAGGAATGGCCCCCTCATCTTCCTCCATTCCCACAGCCTGGGGGGGGTTTGCAGGGAGCAGCAGGGTATTCCTCGCTCCTGGGAAAGAGGAGAAGGTCGCGGCTCTGTGGCTTCAGCTGAGAAGGCCCAGGGTGGTCCTGGCTAGAGGTGAAGGGCAGAGGAGTTTGGGGAGAGAGGGGGTTAAGCACAGGGATGGGTGCCCCCTTGCACCACCTTGCCCAGACCCTGAGTGCAACAGCCTCCCCGCCTCTATGGCCTACTGATGCCAGAAACTTCAGCTCCGAGGGCTAAAAAGAGGGTGATGCTTATGCATGCCATGGCTTGTGCATCAGAGAGGAGGGTTCCCAAGGGAAGATTCCCAGCCAGACCCAGGTTCTTCCTGGAGGTGGGGGTGAAATCTGTCTCTCTTTGTGCTGGGGGGGGGGGGTGGGGAGTCGGGGGTTGCCATGGCAACATAGCATAGAACACCCACCTCCCCAACATCCAGCCCCAGAGGACTTAGGAGTTGGGGGGTGGATAATGGATTGACACCCCCTGATGCCCCCGCCACCTGGCACTGCCAGCCGGAGATGGCGGCATCAAATCTGAGAGAATGGCCCCTTTGTTTCTAGGCTCACGGTGTTGGGGGAGCAGGCATGGGCACACAGAAGGGCCTTTCCCAGGCCCCATTCCAGTTTGCATGACTCCTGCTGGCCTCTGGAGACTCCTTGTGGTCATCCACTGGCCCCTGTGCCCTGGCAGATGGTGGCCTCTTGCCTTTTCTCTCATGGCTTGCCAGCTACTGCAAGGTATGCCTTCCTCTGTCCTGCTCCCCGAGGCCTGCCCTCCAGGTCTCCTCAGACAGGGACGGCAGGCCACCTCGTCCTGGCTCCTGCAAATACCTCACAAGCCCGAGCATGGATCCTGTCCTAGTGTGGGAGCAACCTGTGAACTCCCCCTACCAGCATTAGTCCTGCTCTGCCCAAGCCAAGCTGGGGACTCCTAGAGAAGATGTCTACCACATATGTAGAAGGGCCAGGCTGAAGGCAGGGGGCTGGGTGACCTGTGACCACACCTCTTCCACTCCCCTGGGATCTGTGAAATGTCACAGTGCTGGGGAGAACTAAGGCCCATTTTGGCGTTACCTCGTCTTACATGACATTGAGACTCCTCCCATGAGGACAAACCCAGGGTCCTGGAGACTGGAAAGCCAACTGCCCTCAGCCTTTGCCTCTCCCTGAGCGTCCACATATGACTGCCAACAAGCCCCTCAGATACAAAAATCTGATATAAGGGGGCCTCTCCCCACCCTCCCAAAGCAGGTCTGCAGAGTCTCACTCACCATCCGGGAGCTGTCCGTGGTGCTGGATGCGGTTCTGTGGTCCACAGGGAGAAAAGAGGGCGGGAGGGTGGTGGAGCACCCACCCGCCCCAGGTGAGGAGCTAAAGGGAAGAAAAGCAGAAATATTTGGATACAGTCAGGAAATGGGAAATGGAATCCTGAAGAAAGTCCCCTCTCTGGAGACCTGCACATCACCAATGCTGCTTTGAGGGAACAAGAGCACAAGAGTCAATAAATATCTGAGCCTCCCACCCCTTCATCCCTGATGATTTAAGCGCCCCAGATTAGATCAGCCCTTCTCTGGATGCTTTGGGGAAATCCACAGGGAGATGGAGACAGTGTATTTGCCCTTGGGACAGAGTTCAGGTTGATGTGGAAAACAGAATACAGACCTCTAAATTCCATCCTAAACTCTAAGGCTCCTACGAGAAATTGAGTAACAAAGATGAGAAAGAGATACTACCTCCTGATAGCATTTTAGATATCAAGAGCTTGAGAGGAATGGCAGGGCAAGATCTGTGTGTGTGTGTGTGTGTGTGTGTGTGTGTATGTCTTCCAGGTAGAGAGATGAGCCTGTATCAGAGATTCTTAACACAAAGTTGCATATTAAATAATACTGGTGCCCAGGTCTCATTCCCAGATACTCTGATTCCCAGATACTCAGATACATATTATATATATACCTCCCAGAGGTGACTTAAGTGCATAACCAATTGAGAACTCACTGGTGTAGAAGGAGGCAGATAATAAAAGGTACAGGGGTTAAGCCTGGTCAGCTGGAGGAAGAGACACACCCCCCCCCCAGGAAAAAGGGAATGCATAAGGAAGAGAAAGGCACAAGCACATAATTCCTGTCCCCAAGGGCTCGTGGATGGTCCCGGCTTGGCCTAAGGAGCCATGTAGGTGTTGAGCTTGTCCCTTCCCTTCTGTGGAAGCTCAACCACCCCAAGGTGAAGAGATGAACTGTCTCTCCATCACAGTCCCTCGGTGCCAACAGGGATGGGTGCAATGACCTGAGGGCGTGCTGCTCCCCTTCACCCAGAGGGTCCCCAGGGAGGCGGCTGTGGAAGGTAAACAGCAACAATGGTCCCTTTCAGTGTCCAGACTCCAACCCTTCAGTCCAATTAGCAGACACAGCAAACAGCAATTCAGCTGCCTTCAGCCGCTGTCATAACAAACTCAGAGCTGCCTTAATGGGGGGATTAGGGCAGTAGGAGGGGGGGTGTCCTCTAGCCCTGGCAGAGCCTGGGTGGCAAGGAGGGGTTCCCCTTTCCTCTCACCTCTCTTAGCTTCCCATAACCATGCTCTTCCCTCTCCTCAAAAGCCTAAGAATGTTTTTATAGTTTGGGCTCCTCCTTTCCCTCCAGTGATTTTAAAGCATTAACCTAAACTCTCTTTTCTCCTAGGGAGGTTGGCCTCAGGACAAGACCCCAATCTCTGAGGTCCAGATAGCAAAGAAGGGAGGTAGGAAGGCCAGTCTGTTCCCAGGGAGGAAGGTCAGTCTGTCCCCTGATCACTGGGGTGAAAGGGAGGTGAGAAAGTAAATACCAGAGTTCTAACTCCAAAAACTCGGCAGTGCAGACTTCAAAAAGGACTTCCAGATGTAGAAGAGCACAGAGGGACCTAGGCTTCTCTGGTGGGTCCCAAACCCTGGGAGTCATGTTGAGAGGGTATTGGTCTGGGAGGCAAGGGGAGAGAAGATCAATATGATCTCTATTTCTCCTCCTCCTCCTCCTTCTTCTTCCTCTTTTCTTTCTTCTTTCTCCTCCTCTTCCTTTTCTTTTCTTTCTTTTTGGAATAAAGGGATGATGGGACCCAGAGCTTCATACATGCACTCTCTCTGCCACTGAGCCACTTTCCCAGCCCAAGACAACTTTGTTGATGAAGCATAAAGTCTGCACCCCAATAGGCAGGTCTCTCTTTAGTTTATTAATTTTACCTACTACCTAACTAGTATTTTAATTTTAGAAAGCGTATTTAGTAACTCTGGAATCTAGATTTTTAATGATATGAACTTAGAATTGACACATGCCATAATTTATCAACCCACATAAATTGATGTACCGATCATCAGTGCTTTGACAAATAAGTGTAAGATACATTGAGAAGAAGGAGCCCGGCCAGTGGCCATTCTGCATGTAGACACAGTATCTTCCCATCAACAGGATTCCCAGGGGCTCTGCCTCCTCTCTTTAGGGTTCCAACACTTCCCACCCAGGTGTCCAGGAGTCCCTCTCTGACTCCCAAAGCTGGAAAAGGAGGAAGGTCCTCACTTTTGCATCCTACCAAGTAGTCTTGCCAAACAGAAGCCTTTGACTTTTCTGCAATCTAAGGATTACCCTTTACCCATGAGAGTCAGTACATATTATGGGGTTAGTTATACAGAATTCTTCATGTGCTGCATATAACAACAACCTTAAGGGAGCACAGAGGGTGTCGCTCAGTGTAGACTGCTGGCTTAGATTGGGTGAGTTCCTGGGTTTGAGCCCTAGCACACACACCAAAAAAGCTCAAGGGTATCATTCTTATCTCCATTATCTAAATTTTTTTTCAGCATTGCAGATTGAACCCAGGGCCGCTCTACCTCTGAGCTACATCCCCAGCCCTTTTTATCTCTTTCTTATTTTGAGACAAGGTCTTGATAATTTGCTCAGGCTCACTTTGAACTTGCAACCCTCCTGCCTCAGCCTCCTAGCCTCCTGAGTTGCTGGGATTACAGGCATGCACCCCTGTGCCAGGCCCATTATCTGAACCAAGACTCAGAGATGTGCATAGCTGGTAAATGACGGCACCTGAGCATGGTCCTTGGTTCAGTCATTTTCTCCTTCGGTTTTCTCTTCCCTAGGCTTCCTGATTATGATGATTCTCATGACTCCAAGGACCTGTCAGCAAGACCCTTTTGATGCCTGGAACTGGGAAAAAATTGTGCCCCTGGGGGAGGGTGTGTGTGGGTGATCATGTAAAATTTGAGTCAAATTTCTTAGAGAAAGTTGTCTTTAACTGCTTGGACTGAGAATTCAATAAGAGAGCATTTTGGATGAAGGGTTGAGGGGGGAAAAAACAGATCAAGAAACTGGCTTAGAATTTCGTTTTCAGTAGGTTAGGTGGATGTAGTGAGATCTGAAACACCTGGGGTTTTTCCAGGGGAGAGAGAGTGCTAGGGTTTGAACCCTAGCAAGCACTCTACCACTGAGCCACATCCCCAGCCCTTGCTATTTTTATTTTAAGACAGTGTCTCCCTAAGTTGCTCAGGCTGGTGTTGAACTTGCGATTCTCCTGCCTCAGCCTCCCAGATCACTGGAATTATAGGTATGTGCCCCTGTGCCAGGTTAGATCTGAGAAATAAAACTGAAAATTCTAGGACACAGGCAGAGGCAAGATAATACAACAGGGGAATTTTCCTAACTGGTAGCTGGTGAGGGTTTTCTGAGCCTCTGCAAGAAAGTCTCCCAGTTCTACCAGGTCTCCCACTGAGAAAGAAGGTGCTATCTGGTATAAAGAAAAGAAAGGTCAGGTTGGGGGTGTGGCTTGGTGGTAGAGTGCTTGCCTAGCATGCAGGAGGACCTGGATTCAATCCTCAGCACCTCAGGAAGAAAAAAAAAAAAAAAAGTGCTATGTCCCAGAGTGTCTGTTCCTATAGTGGATTTACCTATACGTAGCCAGGCATCTGTAATCCCGCAAACAAGCTTCCATAGTGACTATGGAGGTGCACACATCCAACCTCTCACCAGCTCAGGAACCACTTAGTCTCCCACGCTCACGAAAAGACACACATGGTTCACAGTCACCCATCGCTCTGCCGGCAACACCACACACAAGGGGGACACAAACCCTCACCCTCACCACCCTGTGGCCTCTTTCTTTTTTCTATAGATGTGCTTAACTGGTAGGGTACGAGCCTTCAGTTTCTTTATTCTCCTTTGGAGGTCCTAGAGTTAAATGTGCCCATAAGAGAGACATTGACAATATAAACCCATTGTGGATGAGGCTGGGTGGATCCCAAACACATTTCCAACAAGCTGCACTAGAGAAAGTTTTAAAAAGGGTATGGGGCAGGAATGCAGCTCAGTGGTAGAGCACTTGCCTCACATAATTAAGGCCCTGAGTTCAATCCCCAGCATCACAAAAACACAACAACCTCCCCCTCAAGACCCCAACAATGAAAACCCCCAAACAGGAAGGCTGTCTTTCTGCCAAGCGCCTAGTCTTTGGCTCTGCTTCTTCTTCCCTCTCTCTTGAAGCCCCTTCCCTCCTCAACCCAGCCCCATCCCAGTTCCTCTTATTCTCCAATTTTCCCACAGGCGGATTCAGTGTGATTCGGGTTGGAAGCCATTGAGTGACATTAGCAACTCATTTGGGTCTGCGGTTCCTCATCTGTAAAATGGGGACAATAACACTTCCCTCGCCAGTGTTGCAAGATCAAAGAAAGGCATACAGACAGAGCTGGGGTTAGGGATTATTATAGTCCCTGCCTAAAACCTGCTTTCTCCCTAATCCAATCTCCACTTCCACCTCCTCCAGAAAACCCAGATTCCAGGTGGCTGAAAAATCAAGAGATTGATAATCTTTCCATCTTCCAAATCTCTAAAGGGATGAGACATATGCACTCCAGGCTCCCGGAAGCCCAATTTTTTGAGTTTGGATTCTATAATATTTCTCCCACATAATATATAATTGAATCATTATCGTCTAGCTATAAAAAAAAAAAAATCAGGTCCTTGGAGGAAAATTTAAATTCACCCCGGAAACTGGAGTCTGTACAAGATGATTTGCCCATTTTTTCTTGCCCCTATTATACTTTATTGCCTGTGTCCTGGAATGCCAGGCTTTGAGTGTTGCGATGGGGATCAGTAATAAACGCAGAGGGGCGACTTCTACCTTTGGCCACAGTTACTTTTATTCTACAAGGTGACTCTAGTTCTTCCTCCTCCTCCTCTCAGCTGCACCTAAATACTCTTGCTTAAAATATTTAGGTCAGGCCAGATAAATGGATTCTTTTAGGAAAGGCCCTGATTAATCTAATTCTTTGCTTTCTCTGGGCAGCATAGATACTAAGCTACACATTCCTTTGTGTTTGAGCTCCTCAGAGCTCCTTGAAGCC